TTTCTCTAGCCGTGTGTGTTTGTGTGGGGTACTTTACTTGCCTACTCGGTACATGGGATGGGCGATTGTTTTGTGTCTCGAGTGGAGAAATTGGACTGGCCGGTAGCTCAAATGTACAAAGTACTTGTCGCGCGGGAAATCATTTTCCTACAACGAGTAAGAGTGAAAGTAAGCGTACGAGGGACCAGTGGCCTCCCTCTTGCTGCTTGTGCCCCTGTGCCCCATCCGTCCATCTATCTCCTGCATTTCGCGGTATCCATATAGACATATGTACATACCTACCAAGGTACATGTACCTGCACCTGCACCTGCATCTGCAAGCACCGAGAATATCCTCCCTCACGCAGGGGAAGACAGCGATGGCGCGATCGATCAGGCGGTCAATAATGCAAGGGGAGGGAGGGAGGGAGTGAGAGGAGAGGAGAAGTCACCAGGATGCATGTATGGACGGACAGCCAGAGATGGAGACCAAGCAAGTGACAATAATGAAGTCAAAAGTAGTTGAGCCAACTTGTTTTTGTGGGGGGTAGTTCCCAAAGCAGCAAGCCCATGGTCACTGTACGAGGTCACTGGGGGCACAAGGGTGACAAGAACCAGAAAAACAAAAGCTTCAGGCGAGATTTTGAGTTTCTGCAGCGTGGCTCAGAGACCAACAATGGGGGACAGGTGTGGGAACCAAGCCTCGCTCTCCGCAGAAAAGTGACACGACGAGGGGGCTCTTCGTGCCCAGCGGAGAAAGTATCCACACCATTTTGCCAGTGCAAAGTGGAGAGGCAGCGGATAGCCCGGCGGGAGGGTAGATCCAGAGGTTGGCGAAGGAGTGAGATTGATGGGGAGATAATAAGAGATGAGATTGAGCAAGCTATGTAGAAGTAGCTTGGAGGGCACAGGAGAGACAATAATCGTGTGTTGGTCAATCTCGTTGTTTCTGTCAGAGGCCTCGGGTCGCCAACTCAATGGCTTCAAAGATCCCGTATGGTAATGCTAAAGTAGAACTATTTCTCCGCCATTTTTGTTTGATGAATCGACAAATCATGACAAAAGAAAAACAGTGAGGAGGCGAGTGCTGTGCTCCTGATCCATCAATTTCCTGCCAAATGCCGTCAAGAAAAAAGGAAAAAGAAAAGAACGGCTTCCCTCGATGTCTGGTGCCATCCACCTGTCCATCCCATCACAACCAACCTGGTCTTCAAGGCTTTCCTTCTTGCCCTGTATACTGTTAACATCTTGATGTCACACTCGATTGAACCCCAACAATCTTGTGTCCCAGCCTGCGCCCCGTCGAATCTAGATGCTTTGCTTGATGCAGAACATGGACCAAACACCAGTGGCAAAAGTCCATCGCTAGCAACTGTCGAAGAACGCCATGCAAATGCGCAACTCGTGAGCCTTCACAAGGACCAGAAACGCTTGCAAACCGCTCCGTATTTTACCCAAATCCTCTTCGTTCTCATAATAGTCAAACCAACGCCAATGTAAATGCAGTAAACTTTTGTTCCATATCATCCTAGCCATGCTTAAGACGCAATGAAGATTAAAGCCGGTAATGGACATCTGTCTCTTCAAAAGCTCCGACGTGAGCAGCCCGAGTCGTCATCATCATATTCCCGTGGTAATTCATAGCAATAGTCGAATAATATACCGATTCATGGCCCTCTCCAAGAGGCTTTCGCTTCTTCATTGCCCTGCATCGATACTCGTCTTTTCAAGGTCCTAGTCTGATCAAATGATCCCGCATAATGTTTCAGATCATTTTGGGCTTGTTCGGACAACTTGGGGCTGACTGGGCGAGAGATCAGAGAGGTGGAGAGCGAGTTCGACGACGAGGTCCGGTGAATAGAGAAGTCGTATGCTGGTGGAAGGTAGAGACCGGTGGTGGCAATATTAAGAGAAGGGCGTTGTGGCGAAGAGATGAAGGCGGTGATACTTGTGTCACGGGGAGAGGAGGATGGTGTCGACGACGCAAGGGTATAGTGATCGAGTTGTGTTAGACGACATGCCGATGAGCAAAAGTTTGTGCCGTTAGTTTGACGATCGCAGGACAGGCAGAAGTCTCCGAGAAGGAAATCCATGTTGTTGTTGGTCTGTTGTACGACGATGGAAGGAGAGATGGTAGGGTTCCAGTGACTAGAGAGGCTGAGGAGAGAGATTCGTTCAAGAAGGTCTGGTAGGTCTGGTGGGTGACGATTTATATTTCCTCTGGGGGGGAGGGTATCGCAAGGCCACGGGCTGACCAATGTGGTGGTTGTAGCCGTGTGGCAGTGGTGGGTGTCAATCAAGGGTCACGCAGGCAGACTTGTATCTCATCCTCAGACACGGCTGACGTTTGAGGTATCTTTGGATATAAGAGGGTGTGCCAGAGGCTGAGAAGCTATTCAGGTTCAAGATGGTAATGAATCATGAAATGTGGTCTTCGGTGTGTTTCTGAGAAGGAGGGTAATGGTGAGTGTGTGTGTGTGTGTGTGGTGAGTGAAAATCAAGACCTGGTGATGGGAGGATTCGGCCTTCTAGTAGATAAAGAAAATGTAATGCACATTGAGAAGCGTGGAGGTTGAAAGACAAGGGCCCAACAAGATGGGCAGAGGAGGGTGCCTGATCGGGAATGGCATTGGTGTCTGAAGGCGGCAGTAGCCTTGAGGGAAAAAGAGGGGAATCAACTAAGCTGGTTTGGATGCTGGATGCCCACCAAGTCATGATGGAGCTGAGGGGGGTGGTTCCAGGGGTCCCACCCTGCAGCAGCAGCCTAACACTTAACTAGAACACCCTGGTTGGCGAGGAGCCAGCAGCCAGCGGCCAACAGCCAGCAGCAACCGGCGAAACAGCAAACAGCGCTGTTGTGCACCTTCGCACCCTGCAAGCCTCGAAAGTGGCCTTCACGGCCCTGCCCGTCTCATCTCCAAGCTGTCGCCTTCACACCACCAACACTGGACACAAGCCCATCCTCACTCAGATACTCACTCCACTTTTTCAATGCACACACACTGTCTCTCACACACACACTCACGCATTCTCACTCACTCATACTCAGACACCCAGTAACTCCGCACTTACGAGGATCATCTATCCACCACGGGTCCTTCGGCCTGAGGCTTCTCCCTCGTCCCATTCCCTGGCTTGCCTGGCCACTTTTTTTCCCTTCCCGCACCTTGCCCTCGCTCCTCACTACCCCGTCCTACCGCCCTGATCCTCCGACATCTCGTCTGCCCTCGTTGGCCATCTGCAGCTAAACGAATCCATTGATCACAGGCCTCCCAATCCTGGCAATCGTGCCTCCCACGCAATCAAGGCACCGTCCAATCCGCTCTCTGCAGCCAGCCGACTCCTTTGCCTCCTGGACTGAGAAAGCTTAGACCAAGCCTTCCCATCCTCGCTACGGTGGTAGCAGAGTGAGGAGTACGAGTCCTCGCACTGACCTTTTCCAAGACAGTTCGCAGTGGCGCTAGTTTTGACGGCCAGAGCCAAGGTGGGATATGCTTGTTAGCAGTAAGAGACTGGTAACATTACGCAGTGCTCCAGCGATGTTTGATTGTGTGCAGAGTCACCGGACCCTCTGCTGTACACCCTCCGAGTCACAAACTCTGTATGTACCCGTTCGAGGCGCCCTCATTACCCCGTGATCATACCGCTGCTCGGTCAACCAAGCATGAACAAAAGGAGGGTTTATCAGGCCTTTGCTCAGCCCTAGCGGTATCCTCCGTGCTCAATAACCGCTGACACAAATCTTATGGGCAAGTACCCGTTCGTGGTCATGCTATCCGCTGAGCTCGTGAGATTGTATTTTTGTTCTCGAAGTCTCTGCCGCTTCGACTGCGCTCTGGCAGTTCTTTGAGGCCCAAATCACCCAGATTCGTGGCTGGATTTTCCAGGAATATGCCCCGTTCTTCCCGTTTGGTTACCTCGAGAGTTTCCACTATTCCCACTGACATGGTTCATTAGGCCAACCAAGGGACGGACCTCGCCCTCGGCCAGGTTTAATTCGTTGCCCGTATGCAAAACCTCCCACACCATCGAATTTGCGGTCTAGAGCTGCAGCAGCGCTACGCACAAAACGCTTGGCTGTCGTACGGTTTATACTCGAAGGCGTGGGATGTTATTTCACTGTGAGTGGCCTCTCTTCCTGCAGTCCCAATCAATATCATGTGCAAAGAGCGCACGGTTGAAAATTTATTGGGTATTTCCCAGTGCCTCGACACGTCTGAAATTATCCAGCCCACGCGGGTCAGGCACGAGCCATTTATTCCCGTGGTCGCTGTGCCCATGCTGCCCGTCTAGCTGAGTCCTATCTCCGAGTAAGATGCTGACCTCGGAAGATGCAAGGATAACTTTTTTTTGTTTCCTTTGTGGGAACGACGTCAGCGTGCGAAATCACATTCCCCCAATGCCTCCCTCGCTGTTAGACCAAGTCCAGTCACGATATCTACCTAGCTGAGGCAAGATCCGGCTAGCTGCTCGGCTTGATGCAGTAGCTCCAACGTCCCCCCATGCGGAATAATTACCTATCGGTGGGGTAGAGTTCGAAACAACACTATGTCAGTCTCATCCAGCCAATCCGCGGCCACAATCAGGGACTCCAAGCAGAAATGAAACCGCTCGAAGACGACGCAAAAACCCTGGTTCATTCAAAAATCACACCAGCACTCAAACTTTCTGTCTTGATATCTCGAGTTTCACAAAGCCTACAACTCGCCACCACGGTAACTCATTCTTATCTACCTCGGCAGGTTTGGCATCAGGTAACTAATCTTGCCAGGCCTCGTCCTATCTCGACACCGCTCGATTGCTCTCCAAATCTTGCGGCTAGGGGTATTGATAATAAGCGCTTCGACGTCCCCATTCTTCCTCGCTCTCGACCCAGATATGGCTATTGGACAACCCTGAACGATCTTCCATCCTTGAATCACATCATATTTCTGTATTAGTCCTGAAGTGGTCTAGAGTGAACATGTGACACACTCCGTCAAAACTCACATACAAGCAATCCGCACCGAGGATCTTGGCAGTTACTTGAAGTCCGGGTGAACTGGTAACGGCACCATCCGTCGCTGCTCACGGAGTTCCTTTTTGGTAAGAGCGTTCTGCTCCAGACGTCGATCAACAGGGTTATAGAGACCTCGTCCTCCTGAGCGCGGAGTTCCTGTCCGAGCCAGGTTCTCTCCTGAGGGAATCGTTGGATGACCAATGTATGCGTCGCTAATTGTGCGTGGGAGTGACACATCACGTCGGATCTTCTCCAATATCCCAAGGTGCTTCCTCTCCTTGTGCTGTTCTCGACGCTTGGTTTGTTTTGCATCTTGTAGGTCCCTCTGTTTGTAGTTCACGCTCGGGGAGACAGGGATTTGCCCTTCATATAGTTCTGCCTGGTGTATCTCATGCGCTTCCGTCATGGCACTAGATGACTTCTTATCGCCTATGTTGCGTATTATAGCGTCCTCAAACCCGACGAGTTCTGTAACGGGGATGTGGTCTGCCGGTGATTTACTTCCCAATACACCAGACCGATCCGGCTCTGCGGATTGCCGAGGACGCTTCGGCGGATCTGCCCTGACTTTTCTCCCACGAAGGAGCACCCCTTGTATTCGGTCCCTATGGTAGGGCATGCTTTGGACAAAGCGGCAGGTTTGGGGAGCGGTCTTCCGGAGAGCGGTGTATGTGGCCTTGTCGCCCTCTGCGGCAAGTCTGTTTGCTTTGAGCAGGACGCTGGCAAGGTGGACTGCAGTGTAATAGGTTGGCATCAGCTGCCCCGGATCCTTTTTCTCAATATATTTCCGGGAAACGATTATTGGAGGCGATCCCTGGGATGTTTTGGATGACAGCCACTTCCCACGTCGTAAGACCGACCATGGCGGAGTATTGGCAATCATCTTCTGCTCGAAGAGTTCATAAGCAAGGAGCCAGTGTTGTTGATCTTTCGACAGTGTCAAGGTTTGAATATACATGTTCCAATTCTTACTGGTCAATGCAAAACCAACTGCCTCTAGCTCAGCCACGAGGGTTACAGCACGAGATTGGAGGTCGCGGACGGACAAACCGTGCAGGTACCGTGTCAACGGTGCTTCGAAAATGTATTTTTGCGAGGGAAGGATCGCCAGCCCGGGCTCATTCAATGGACCAGAGGGCGGCAGATTCTGTGGAATCATCGACTCGAACGAGAAGTCCTCCTTTCCGATCAGCGAAGAGTCGGGTAGACCTATTGGCCTTAGCGGCAGAAGTTGCTGGGTGTCAGTGGTCGTATTTTCCCCAGGGACTTGCTTTCTGGTTGCACGGGAGAACCTTCTTGCTGTTTGGATACCGCATTCAAGTATTTGTTTCCAAGTGGCCTCGACTTCCTCCCAAGCATGATTTTCAGTTGAGACCATCAAGCGCCTAGTCAGAAACTGGATCGAGGTAGAAGCAGCATCGCCTAAGATGAGGTAGGACGACTGAGCGAGAGATTGGAATCTCTGAATGAGCTTTTCTGCGTGCTTGATCTGACCTCTTGCCGTAAGAAGGTCAATAAGATACTCCAGATATACCGTTGGCACAGCATCGACGCCTCGACGGCGGTGCAGACCGGGTTGTGGTTGACGTGCTGCTCGATCCGGCGTCGAGAGCTCGTGTAGGATCTCTTCCAAATACTGAGCAGCAAATCGTGGCCGCTCATTTGAGATAGAATTTCGACTAGCCTGAAGATGTAGCATCGCAAGGCGTGGACTGGCGCCGATCCTAGGAAACCTCTCAACCATTTCTTGGTAAACAATATTGGCCATATTTCTGTCACCTTCTTTTGCGAATCCGTGCAGTATGATGGCATAGTGAAAGGGTGTGGCGGCAAGTGTCTGACTCAAGCTCAAAGTCCTGAGTATCTGAAGCGCATCCCGAGTCTTGTTCAGAACCACGAGCGCTGTCATGAACGCAGCGTGAGTCATGGCATCCGGCTCGACTCCCAGTGCACTCATGCTTTTCTGAACACGGAGCATACCATCAGAATCTGCTGCGAAGGCGTAGTGACGTAGTAGATAATTCCACATTGTGACAGGCGAACCCTGAAGATTGGCAGCGGTGGCTGCTTCAGCTAGCCTTTCGGCGGCCTCCGCTTGGTCATTGACACAGTATGTTTGTATCAGACCAGTGACCAGTCCATATGACCCTTGTACTTTATTTCGCTGGGCTTGCTCAAGGATATCGAGCACAGTATCGGTGTCACCAATTCTTGAGAAGATACCCATCAGGGTTGTAAAGGTGAACGCATCCGGCGCAACACCCTCAGCCCTCATCTTGTCAAAGACTTCAAAAGCCCGCCAAGGTTTGAGAGATCTGGAGTGGGCATAAAGAAGGATATTCCAGCAATAAGAGTTCGGGCGTATTCCATGGTCGATCATCGACTGAAACTCCTGTTCTGTCCCTTGCACATCTCCCAAGCGAGCATATGCATACAGGAGAGGCGTATAGTATGCCACATCAGTAGGCCGGGAGTGGGCTTGACAAAGCCGAATGAATACTTGCTGGACACCGTCGACGTCGCCCTGAGCAGCCAGGGCTGACAAGACTTTCTGGTAACTCTTTTGATCTGCAACACCGTGGAATTTTGAAAATTCGTCCAGATAGCGGTTATACGTTTCAACGAGAGCTCCTTCACGGCAGTGTATCGACAGCAACGAACCAAAGGTCTGGGGTCGTGGAGGTACCTCCGGGAAACTTGACCGAAGTGTTTTATACACGAGATCAGCCAAAGTTCCCCTGTCCGGTCTGATGGCGACTTTGTTGATGGTGTGGATGGCAGTGACATAAAGAGATGGATTCGATAGGGAGAGGTCGTTCGAAAGTTGAAACAGATGCTGCAGTCCTTGCGGTGTGACAATGCTCATAAGTGTACCATTTCTGACTAGGGCATTCAGAAGCTCGTGAAATAGTGTTGAGAGAATTCCTGAATGCTTCATGGTGACTGCTGCCCGCTCCCGCAGCTTTGTTCCGAGTTGATAGATTGCGAATGGTAGATCGCGGTAATTGCCTATCTCCTTTGCAATGGCAAGGCGAGTCGGAGATGTTTGCCCTGCGCGAAAAGGAACTCGTTTGAAAGAGGTGTCCCATACTGAAGCAGCAGTGTTCCAGAGCTGGTTTGAGACAGCATGCAATAAGAGGAATACACTGCAGCCCTTTTGCATATTCCGTTGGGTGGCGCGAGCATTGATTCTCAAAGCTATACGGTAGTTGCCAGCGATTAATGCGCATCGAACAGCTCGCTCATAATCATCTCGAGTCCTGTGCTCTTCGTCGATCAGTCTGAAGGCACTTAAAGCGTGACTTTGGTCCCGCCTCCTGCTCGACTTGGAAAGGAAATGGAAGACTTCAGGTGCGTAAGCTTGCTGGTTCGGAATCTGGTTGAACAAGGCCCAAGCACGGTCAAAATGAGCGCTTTGCGACTCTGCCTGCACATCCTTATTGACATCAAGAATATGTAAGAGGTGTTTTTCTGCTTCACTGATGGCCTGAATGGAGTGTTCGTTCCATGCCTCTTCATGCGCGTCTGCGGTAACCGCACCATCGTCGCTTTCTCTTGCAGCGTCCTCAATTATATGTCTTGGAAGATCCGATTGTGGATAGCGAAGAAGTACATCTCCCAAATGCTCCTCTTCCCTGATAGCTACGGCAACAGCTTTGTGCGAAGACTTCGTGGATCTAGTATAGGTTCGAGAGGATGAGGATTGAGGACCGGCAGAATATCGATCGGATGTTGAGGTTCGCACTCGCGATCGACGAGGGATCTCGACGAGATCGTTTAGCGAGGACTGTCTCGGGGATGGTAGAGCGGACTCGCCGCCAGGTGGATTTGGACGAAGAGCTCGGATGCTGTTGAGGTACAATGGCCACCAGTGAGGGACGTCCAGCTGGTTGCCTCCATTTTTCCAGAAAGAGGGACCAAGCGCACGGTGTGTGCGAACAGGAGGCTCGAGGCGTCGGAGAAAGAGTTGGGAAGCTGGTTCAATGCATGCTGCAGTACGCTCTATCATGCCACGATCGAGACAGTCGACGTATGGTCTAGCACAAGATGAAAATTGCTAACTGTGGTGACGGACTGTCTTTCTGACATATAGAGATAAGTGGGAAAGTCACAGAAATGACAACGCGAAGGGAGAGGGTGAGATGGAAAGCCAATGTGAAGCGACGATATGTATCAGGTGAGAGAAAAGTCGAAGGGAAATAATAATAAACGAAGTGTACGAGGTATCTGAGCCTGCGTTGGATGGTAGCTCGCTAACGCCGCTTGCGCCGCAGCGCCGCGACTAACTGCACACATTGGAATTATCCCCACATTTATGTCTGCCCTCACTTCTCGGTAGCGCTGTGATAATTCTGGCTTCTTGCGCAACCATCTCTTGCTCGACTGGCTTCCACCATGGATATCACCAGATCGATCGTCTCCGAGCGCGAGCGGGCTTTGCTAGGAGGGGACTATGATGCCTATCATGCGCAAGCCACCCGCAAAATCCACAACCTCCGCAGGCGACTCGGTGCCGCAACTCGGGGAAGAAAATACACTCCCAAAGCTCCAGTGACCGCAGAAAATGTGGCCAAAAACGCAGAGTAAGAGCATCATTTCACGAACAGAACCGGTCGACTGACTGTGTTTGAAGATGGGTGCAACTGCTTCTAGCCAGCTCCGAACGGGCATGGGCGTCTTCGATGGCCATGAAATCGGCCCAGTCGGCAGAGAATACTCAGAAACCCATGCCTGGTTCCACGAAAAAACAAATTGCTTCCAGGCTCCGAAGAGCCATCACCTACGCCGACAACCTCGTGACTGTTCTGCAAGATCGCAGCACGACTGGCGCACAAGCGATAGACGAACTCGAAGCACGTGCTTATCTCGCCATGTTAAGAGGAAGTCTGGATTTTGAGAAGGGAAGATGGCAGGAATGTATTCAACATTATTCTATCGCCCAGGTTGTGTACACGACATTAGCACGCACATCGAAGACGGACACGTACAAAGAATTGTTATCGGGCATCGTGGACCCCAGCATTCGTTATGCCGCATATCAGATGAAGATGCCCCGCACCAGGACCATCAATGATATCGCCATTGAGAACTTTCCCAAGAGTGAAGCTGCTGTCAGGAGCACAGTCGAAGACATTAATCCACAGGCGTTCTCGACAGGAACTGAGGCGGCTCCTACCAAAGGAGGACCTAAGGAAATCCCCTCTACAATTTCTTGGAGGAGTAGGAAAGTGAATTTGGAAGACGCCAATATATCTCAAGCTCTTGGTTTCTCTAAAGAACGGGAAGACGAGTTGGACAGCACCTACAAATCCTTCAAAGGTGGATCTGTAAGTGCCAAAGACCTAGCAACCGCGTACGAAGAAGTCATCACGGCCCGCCAGGATGCCGCCGATGCCACGAAGACCGCTATCGACGAGCTGATTGCCGAAGGTGTTGACACTGGTGATTCTCGGCTGCAGTCTTTGCAAATTACCCGTACGGCCGTCAACTATGCCGTGATCGAATGGCGGATTGGGCGCAATAGAATCCTCTGTGGTGCTGATGACGATGGTATGGCCTTTGAACCCGAGAAGCCGACCAAGAGCTTGAAGCCACGCAAGGACGGCAAACCTCGCGCGCCCAAGGAGGAGAGTTCGGGCCGCAAGCTATCGAGGCTGCGCGAGAGGGTTGCTCTGTACGACTCTATTCTGCAGAGTCTCGACGCTGTCAAGGAACTACCCGGTGTCATTGCGGACAGTGCTTTTGTGGATGAGCTTGATGCAAAACGGGCATACTTCCGTGCGTTGAAGTGTTTGGCTGTTGGCCGCTCACATGCGATCAGTGACCATATACCAAATGCGCTGGCCTTGTATGCTCGAGCACTTGAGTTGGCGGAAGCAGCCACAGCTACATTGAAAGCAGCGTCCGCTGACCACAGTTCTGCACCACCAAAGCTCGACCTATCGATCCAGCGTCTCACGCACACCACCGCCACCCTCAGCAAACTGGTCACTCAATTCCGTGCCCTAGCTGACCTTGGATCCCTCGCAAGAACAAGTCAGCCAACCCCGAAAGACACGACCCAAGCAACCGCAATTAAACCTGCACCTCTCATCGAGCGTCTTTCACACAACGAATACATCCCAAACGTAGACCTAACCAATCTCGTCAACTATCCTCCCAAACTCCGCCCGGTCCCCGTCAAACCACTCTTCTTTGATCTGGCATGGAACTACATCAAGTACCCTGGCGAAAAGGGACCCGAAACCGAAGTCGTAGGGGCCGAGGACGTACAGATGGGAGGAATCGGGGAAGAAGTCAATGGAAAAGTCGACAAGAGCGAAGAGCAGCAGAAACCCGCGGCGAGAAAGGGATGGTTTGGATTTGGACGCTAAGGGTGTGTTGCGCATGGCAAATACTCCTGCAAGGATGATGCAGAGTTACACCTCGAGGCCAAAGCGGTTCACGCACCTCTCAGCTGGGCAAGGGATGCATTCAATCGAGCTCCCGACCAGTCGGCAGGGATAGGGACAGGGATGGACAGAGTCAGAGCGACGGTGGCAATGGCAATGAAAGTGACAACGACAGAGACAGTGAACCACGACAAGGATGACGCTAAAGTGTTAATGAGTGCTGAATTGGATCGCGCGCGATAGTGAGCGTGATAGTGATAGGATAGCTTACACTGATCGAGCCTCGACCAAAATCCAGAATCTAGAACCCAGAAGGCGATGAGTGATGGATGACGGATATACCGATTACTCTAATTACCATCGAACAGACACTTACTTACCTCCTCTCGGTACGCAGGAAGACACGACAATGTGTATGTATGTAGACGAAACAAGCCTGGGAACACATGTACCTACGTAGCTACCTAGTATGTAGGTAGTATGTACTCGGTACATTAAACAGAAACCAAAGGATCCCTCCCTGTCTGCAGCCCGCTGGCTGATGGTGGTGGCGCCAGGAGCTTTGAAACCCGACGGGTGAACCGGACGGGACATGTACCCAGGATGCCAGGATGCCAGGTCGTCTGTATCGAGTACTCCGTACCAGGTACCAGATATTACAGAAATGAGGCAGGAGATACGTACCTACCTACCCTAACATACCACATGACCACCATATACCATCACATGAACCTAACAACACATGTATGCGAACTTGTCGTCTTATCTCAACCTTGTCTCATCTCATGTCATCTCGTATCGCCTCTTCCCGGATAATATCATTCGCACTCGAGGTACCCTCGTCTCGCCTAGCCCGGCCTCGCCTCTCTCCGCTTCGCTTCTTTTCATTCCATTCCATTTCGTCATACGAAGTGTTTCCTGACACGTGGCATTGCCAGGGCGAGATTCACTCGTCATAAACACACAAGGTAATGAAAAAAAAAGGGTTTCAGGGTACGAGGGTGGAAAAAAAGAAAAAAAGAAAAACCCCCGAGCAAATGGGTGCAGTGTCCGTTTCGTTGGGTGCGGCCAATCGGTCGGTCACTCGGTCACTTGGTCGGGATCCCTGTCCAGCTGAAAACCATCATCAGCACAGACCAGCGCACAACCACACCACACCACACCCACAAATCACGACGACCATTTTTTTTCACTCGTATGCTGCTGCTAGGTGGTCTCCCAGCCTCACGGCTACTTCCACCCATTCCAGATATGCAATGCAAACGGGATTCGGGGGCATCGCCGTGGTCCACTGGTGGATTATAATTAATCTCTGTAGGTATACCATCTGCAAAAGACGCCTCGCTAGCAGAGGCGTTGATAGCCTGACAATTCCAAAAAGGGCCTATTCCAAAGCCCAAACAGTGTTGATCCAACCCAGAATCCACCCACCCCGTTGATCCATTCAAAAGAGCTTCCATTCGTGTTCCATGTGCGGGGTATATCTAACTTTTTGCATCTTTGGCGCTTGATCCGGTCCAGCCGAAGTCCCATTTGGACCACGCCAAACTTACCAAGACCTCTTGCAATGACTATCGTCGCCGCGTTGCCACGTTGACAGTTCCACGAAGGGATCCCGTCTGGAATTGGGGACAGATCTGCAGAGGAGTTGTCGTCTATTCAATGGTAGCCGAAGTCGCCGAACCCGCCGAGCGACAGTCTTTCAGCTCCAAGGTCATCATTCGGGTAGGAGTCGTGGCTTGAGAGTTCGACGCTCAACGCCTTCCCTCAAACGTCAATGTCCTTCGCCTCCAGACAATTCGTGCATCTTGTCCATCACAGAAATGCTCCGTGCCATCAAATTTGCAGTCCTGGCGGAGCAAGCCGCCCTGTTGCGAAGGCTGTGGGTATGAATGTCGTCTCCACGAGGAGTCGGGCTCGTCATAGATGCTGTGTGTTTCGTCACTTGGGCCTGCATTTGCCATAGCACCCAATTTTCGACCCCTGGCTCTCACTTCAAAGTCCACCTTTCTCGCGTTCGCAGCTTTTGCCGCAGATGCCAGATACCCACTTGTGACTGGACCTGACCGCATCGGTGAAGAGTCGTGAACAGTATGAGAGGATCCCGTCAAAGGCACCATTGATCGTGTCAAATGTTGATCTGAATGTTTTGAACCTTGGTCTTTCGGATCCGACTCTAGGGCGTGTTCTCTGAGGTCTGACCGCTGACCTTGATTCCGGGTCTGTCGGAAGAGGATGAGGATGCAAAGAAGAATGCAAAAAGAAAGCGCATAGATGGTATGGATGAGAAGACATTCCAGATTGGTCGGTTGGCTGGGATCGACCTGGTGTGGTGCCATTACTGTAGAGCGTGAGAATGCTTCATCTGAAGCACTCGAGAAAGGCATTTTTGCTGATGCCGTGATATACCATCAACGTAGTCGAGACGAGGGAGACGAGCACAGACAGGACATTGACCAAAAAGACCTACCATCTAGAGACTTGCCGAGCAGGGCACTTTATATCACTGGATCTCGTGCATCCTTTTTTCGTCGGATACGGGCTGTGTGACCTCGCACAGACACGAGGGCAAAAGTATGGCACCAATGGGGCGAACCGTCGAATATAGTGCTATGCG